AAATGTAACGTATGAAAGCAGGACAATTCATTGGCTTTATGTGATACAGGGGCCTTCCATCCTGGTCCTCATTGGCTTTCCTGACCAGAAAGGAGCAGTCTATTAACAAGTCAGGATAAAGGATAACTCTTGCCTAACGTCCTGCCCACCAGGAAAAGACCTGGGAACATCTCAAGGCCAGCAGGACAAACTGGGTCACTGAGCACCAAGTTGGTTTGATGGTAGAACAGTGCACTTGTATCTTTTGCAAGCCCATAAACCCTCTGGGAAACTGAAAACTCTAGGTGAATTTGGAGCCCTAACTCATTCTCCTTTTCAGAGCCCTGGACCACAACAGTAATAAAAATAATCACGATTATTACTATTAACAATTACTGAGCAGTTAGCACCTATGAAGCACTGAATCAAGAACTTCATATGTTTTATCTCATTCAAAACACAACAACCGTAAGTGGTAGGCACTATCATTATTCCTACTTCACAGAAGGAAAGACAGGTTTAAAAAGGTTAGGCCCTTATCTGAGGTCAACAGCTAGTAAATGAGCCAAAATCAAACACAGGTGTTTCTGATTTCACTCGTCATCAGAAAGCCAACACTCTTAATCGCAATGGTATCCTACCTAATGTGGGCAAGTTTCTTTCTACTTCTGTGCTGAACATAAGTTATCCTGGCTAACACAATGCAAAAACAAAAGGGCTTCCATTATTTTTCATGCCAGAAACAAACACCCAGGGGGTTAGGCATCAAAGTGAACTGTCTTGATTTTATCAATTGCCTTTTCTCCTCTACTTGCCACTTGAGACTTTGCTGTCCTCTGCATACTGACAAACCCTATCTTACCTGGAGCAGGAATGTTATTCAGGATAAAATAAAAAAAGACTATCACTCCCCATAAGTTAACATCACTTGAGAGCTTTGCCGAAGTTGTAACTCTCACAGGGCTTACAGCAGTGTGACAGAGCTCCGGGGACCTCGACTTTTATACTTGGCAAGCTGCGTCTACCCACCAGGAAAAAAAAGGGGGGGAGAGTTAACCTGAAGTTAAATTGGTCTCTTAAATATCCTCTCATAAAAAGCCTTTCAAGTACATAGAAAGTTTTAAATCCTAAAAGGACAGAAAGGAAAACATCAATTTGTTACACATTCACTCAATGAAAATTGACAGGACAAGTTTAGCTAATAGTACTGTACCAACAGTAATGTCACTATCATCCACACCATGATTAACATTAGAGGAAGCTGGGTAAAGGGTATATGGGAACTCTGTCTTAGCTTTGCAACTCTTCTATAAATCTAAAATTATTTTCCAATAAGAGGCTTTCATACATGTCCTGGACAGGCTGGGTAAGAAATTCCCTACAGCACCCTCTGTAAGACTGACGGCTTAGGACAGCATCACAGATGGAATAACGTTGAGGTGAGAACCTGGAGTCATGTTCATCGACGAAGCATCACTGGTAGCCACAGCACAGCGTTTCTCTAGTCCAAAACCTCAAGAATAACAAATCTTGCAAACCAAGGCTTGAATGAGAGCTGAACAAAACAGAGAGTTTGGTCATGATACCTCACATCGGGGCCAGAAATACAAACTTCATACACATAAGAACATCATGGTAAATGGTTAGGGGGGAAGAGGGAGAGGAAGAAAACGGGAGAATATGTGAATGAGAGGACGCTAAAGCAGACAAGAAAGAATCGTTTATATCACTCCTCTGGGATCAGGGAAAGCATTCACACATTTGTATAAGTAACTTGTTAACAGATAGAGTAAGATATTGGGGTGCTGGTCCAACAGAAATAACTTTTTTTCAACTTTTCCAGACAAAATTTCAGAACTATATCTAAGAGTTATTCAGCATAAGCAAAGCATTTCAGAAGGGTTTTCAAAGGCACCCAAAGGATGGGATATTTAAGGTCTACAGAAAACTCTGTGAGAAAGTTTTGAGGATGATCAAATCCGGGCTTGAGAATACTTTCAAGTATATGAAGATCTCTTACTCAAAAACAGTGACCATTTAACCTTCATCTGTAAAACTAGAAGGAGTTTTGTCCAGTGTAGAGAATCTCTTTTCAGATATAAGGAAGAAGTTCTTGAGATAGTGGGTGAGGAACTATCGCACTAGGTCCCCAAAGGGGATTACCACAGTATCTTTGGATGTCATTGCAAGGAGAGGAGACAGCTTTCTTGTGCCTTAAAGCACAGAGGAGGAATAAATGGTCAACTTAAGGTCTTCTACAGTTCGCGGAAGCAAAGCATATATAGCATGTAGCTGCTTTAACATTTCTCTGAAGAGTACTTGCTAGAGAGGACTCAGGCATTGTTATTCTAGGAACAGAAAGTGCCAGTCACGTCAAGAAACTCGGACATAAAAAAAAACCCTTCACAGATCCAGTTTTCTAACCTTTCTTCCTATTTCATAGACTTTCTGAAGACGTATGACCGTGAATCTGCAATTTAAGAGACAAGCTGATCGGGCACTAAGCTCTGATTTCTTTTCCAATAAGACAACTAGGGTAAATTCATGAGAAAATAAATCATGACTCCAAACCGAATCTGAAAAAAAGTAAATAAATGCCATTATTCCCGACATTTATGGGGGGTGGGGTTTAATATCCAGTGACATCCTAATTACAGTACCCTTGCTTGGGGGAAGATTTAAGATAAATAATACAGTATTCGAACTCTGTATTTTATTACTCTTAGGAGTGAAAAGAAAACATAATAGTCCAGTACATCACATTTGTATATTACTGTTTAAATCCTACCATGATAATCTCCACACCTCACCCCAACTTGGTAAAACCACATCCCACTTTAATCCCAGTTTGTCTTCCATTTCATATTTTAGAACAATTTGGTTAGACACCCAAAGCCCTTCCCCCTAATAAAATCAGTATCTGCTAAGGAACATCAATTTATAACTTGCCTTAGTATCCATCAAAAACAAAAGAGTTATTAAACTCAAACATAGCAACCATCCTCAAACTCTTTAAGAACCAGTAGGAACATCCCAGAGACAAGCAAAGAGCTAACACAGCTGATTTCTGGGTTAAGAGGAGGGTGCAATATCATTTTTTAAGGCAAACACCTGGAGGGAAAAAAAGTACTATTTTGTTTCCACCTCAAGAAATTGCAGACAAACTAAAGCAAATCACATCAGTGGAATACTCAATTATCTGCACATGCTAATTAGCGAACTGTAATCAACCGGCTTTCAGTCCCCTCTTCACCTGCTGTAATATTTGTAGTGCACTGCCTGCCGGATTCCTCACAACTGGTAGAACACTAGACAGTCTGTATGGTGCCTCCAAGAGAAACAAATAAGCACAGATTTTTGCTGATGGCAGGAATTTCTCATGCTCAGGGCATATGAACCAACAATGTGGAAATGGCAGCACTGGCTGTATATTTTAATTATTTCCCACACCTATTCTGCAAAAGAGACTTAAAGTTCAATTAGGTAACATGATGCTCAGTTATGGTTATTTCAAAAAAACTAAGCACAGACAGTCACTTAAGGTAGTAAATATATGCAGTCATGACAGAATTAAATATTCATGAAATCAAGAGCGACTGGAAAGCTGAGGATATTAGGATATTAAAATTCATCATCCTTTTTACAATGTAAATCTTGTATGCATTTGTAAGGCACCCGGGTCCAGTCTAGTGCGCGTTCAAATTCCGGTTTCCTGGTACACTGCCATTTAAATTACAATATTGATTTTGGGAGATAAACAACAATCTTAATCCTTAGCTCAGTTGCAAAATGCAAAAACAATTTTGAACATTCAGAAATACCAACTTGTTACGTGAGCCTGTCTCCAAACACAGAACAGCAACACTCAATGTTATCCCAATATGTTTTGGGTACTTGTTTAATCCACTAGCACCTCTGGAAAGGTCCAACAGAAACCAAGGCAATCTCCTAGGAGGAGCACTTCGTGACATGCAATTCCTTTCTAGCCAGAAGTGACTATTTTCTTCTACGCTTCCTTAAGTGAGCAAAGGGAGAAAGTATATTGGCTGACATTTCTTTGGTACCAATAGTCTGTTTTGTTGAACCAACTTTTTCCCCCACAGGAGCACCCAGTTTCAAAATGTATTAAATCCATGTGTGCACTTTATACACATACAACTCAACAACACTAGCGTCCACAAAACTGAACTCCAAGTGTGTATGCAGAAAGACTGTACTCAGACACAAAGCTGTCATAAATACACTCTAATAGTATTACCGAGGCATTATTTTCTATGCCATTTCCTCTACTTTACAATTTTCTCAGCCGAAGAAACCTCAGCACCAGGGAAGGGCATTTGAGCCATTTCTTCCTGGAATCCAATTACCTGAAGAACTCCTCTCTCCACGCTAAGTAGTAGCTATCCTCGGTCTACAATGACACAGCAGGGCTGCAAAGATTTACAGGGCTCAGCTGCTGCCAGGCACTTGGTCCCTGGCCTCCTAGGTAGGAGGGTGCCAGGTGAGGAGGACCAGGGGCTTAGAGCTGGGTGAAGCAGTGATCTCCATTCTACAAAGAAGCCAAACTTTGCTCCCATTGTTGTCATCTTTAGGTTGCTGTCACCTCCCTCCAAGGAGTCTCAGAAGCCACTTGGCAGCTCCTGAAGGCATATGTTTCCCCCTGACCTAGATCATCCAAATAAGCCTCGGTTATCCTGCGCCGGCAAGCAAAGGTCTCTCAGTGCTGCTCCCCTCAGGTGTGGGCTCTGCCCTGGCATCACACAGCTCGCACCACAAGACTTTTCTCTGCACAGACCGCTGAAGACCCAAACCAGGACAGACTTCTGCACATGCCTTCCAGTTCAGAAAGTCACTATCGCCCATCGATTCCCTGAAATCTCACGCCTTCCCCACTCTGCAACCCCCACCGCCACACAAATGAGGGAAGGGGTGGGGGAAGCGGAGGGGTTAAAGTGACAGCCACTACTAGAGCTCCTTGGTTTTGTTCAAAAGGTGTCACAGCGCCAACACTGTGGACCTACCTTGCTCTCTCCTTTCTCGCCGTTGGGTCTCGCCTCGGGATCGTCGCTGTCCTCAGCTCCTGCACACTCGCCGGGCAGTTCATCCTGAGCCAGCTGCTGCTGCTGCTGCTGCGGCTGGGGCTGGGGCTGGGGCGGCTGTGACGGCGCCTGGCAGGCTCCGCCAGCCCCCTGGGAGCGGGGGATGGGCTCCGGGCGCGGAGAAACTCCCTCAACATCCATCTCCATCTTCCCATTCACTGGAGGGCAAGACAAAAGCGGAGCGGAGACTTGGCAGCGGCGCCCGGCGGCTCCTCAGCTGCCCGTGGCACGCATGGCTCGCCGAGGAGGGGCCGCCTCCCGCGCGCCCTCCCTCCTGCCACCCTTCGCCCGCGCTCCCCGCAGCTCCGCTCGCCTGCTGGGCTCGGGCTCCGGCGGCGTTTGGGCCGGGGAGCGCGAGGAGCGGGTGGCCGCGTGTCCTTGGAGCGGTGGCCTTCAGGCGGTCCCGCTAAGCAGAGCGCATCCCGGCGGCGGCAACGGCGGCGACGCCTCCCAACCGCGCGCCCAGCCCCGGGGCCGCTCGGGGACTTGCTCTCCAGCCCGGCCTCCCGATCCTTGTCGCTTTCCAGTCTCTCCTGGGGCCCGTCGGCGTTTCCCCTCCCCTCCAACCTTCTGAACAAAGTTACAGGAAGAACAAAACAGATCACCGGATTTGCCAGGCGAAAACTGACTGCAATAGGAAATATCAGGTGTAAGTGAAATCTGCCATCCCCGCCCGCTAACCAAGCGCCGACCCCTCACCTCTGCCCTCTCCCCGACGCAGAGGAGCCAAGGAAAGAAGGGTTTTCCGACCTGTGCAAGGTGGCGGCGGCGAGGACCGAAAGGAGAGGAGCATACGGAGGGCTGGTGGCTGGTGCGCCCACCCCCAACCGCGGGCGACCCCCACCTCCACTCTGGCCCCGGTCTCCCTCGCTCCCGCCCGCGGCCGAGTGTGTCTCCGGGGTCAGCCCCTCCGGGAAGTGCGTGCGTGTATCGGAGCTCCCGCTCCTCGGTCGGCTCCGCCGCCGGCGACTGCGCGCCCCACCGCCAGGCACTAGAGAACTGGAGTAAAGGGGAGAAGCCAGCGGCAAATTCCCGGCAGGAAATCGACCTACCCTCGCCTCCGGCCGGATCGCGGGCTAGCACCGGGAAGGGGTGGGGCCCCGCGTGGATGGCGTGGACGCGAGTCTCGCAGCGCGCCCGAGTTTGGCGTAAAGGTTGGCAGTGGAGGGTCGATGGGGGAGGCGGAGGCAGAAGCGCGGTGTCGCTGCCAGGCATTTACTGCAATGTACCCCGGGGTGGGCGCCAGCTGGGCGCCGCCGCTCCCAAGCGGCGAGCTCTCCGGTGCTGGAAGGGCGTCCTCGGCAGGGCAGGGCTCCAGGAGGTTCCGGAGGTGACCCCAGGCCAGGCGGTGAGCTGTGTCTATAAATATAGATAGATAGTGATGACAAGGGGAGACTTGGAAATTCTGAAATCGGGGCTCACCGACAGTCAGGTGATCAGGATGACTTATAAATGTAACGCCACTTGGTCCTGGGGAGTAGCTTACAACTTCACGGGAACTGTTACTGCAACTCTGCACATCCAGGAGGGACCTACCCGCAGCGAGGGAGAGAAATAGCGGGTTATTAAGGACCTATTTAATATTAAATACAACCCATTGTTCTGGGCTTTGAGTTTCATAATGCCCCCAGATGGATCAGGAGATAAATGAACTATTCATGCATTTCTTAGCAGAGGGTGGCTTTTTTCCCCTAACATACAATGTATCACAGATAACATTTGCCTAATGAAACTAGAAAATTGCATTGTTCATCTCATGACTGCTTTGCATTAACTTAAAGGACAACTTTTACATATCAAGACCCACTGCCCCAGTAAATTCAGTCACACAGAAACACATCATTAGGGCTCATCCTTCAATGCAATCTCATAATCTGACTCTGCCTGTGAGTGTGACAGAAATTAATTGCCACTTTCATTTAATCAGTGTAGACAGCCAATCTGGATGCAATGGGAACGTGCTTTTGGAAAGAAAAAGTTTGGGGATGGAATATGCTCATTCTCTTTTTTCAAAATTTCTTTTGAAAAGTATATTTAAGCTCATTTTCTAAATTCGGAACTTGTTAAAAATAAAATGAGCTTGCTTTAGCCTGAAATGCACTATACTTATTGACAGTATGACCCTCTCTCTATAGTAACGCACCAGCCAAGAACATACAGAGCTATGTGCCTTTAAAAAAGTTACTTACTCTCTATTTCCTCCCAGTACATTGTAATAAATCAATTCTTATAGTATTTTTATAATGGTAAATTAGATTATCTGTGTAAAGGGCTTAGCCGAGTGCCTTAGTGCATAGTGAGCACTCGGTGATCACTACCTATTATACTGAAAATAGTAAGATGATATAAATTCACCATAAGCACTCATCTGACCTTGATTTAGGAAGAAGAAATTGGCAGTTTAATTAATCATTTTATATAAATTATTCTAAAAGATATTTGGTATCTTCAAAGAATGAAGCCCCTTCTGAAGGCAGGAAGAAAGTCAATGGTATTTTGTGCAATAAAGTTTGGGATTTGACAGATTTCCCTTCTACAGTGTAGGAATAAAAATTACATGTCAGTTCCCACAGGAGCTGGAACAGCTGACTGGTAAGTTATCATTCTTCCATGCTTGTTATTTCCAAAATGTGTTCCTGAAGTTCTTTAAAGCTTAAATGAAGATTGCATCAAAATAAAGATACAATAGTTGAGCTAAATTTGTTCTAAATTTAGGCATGTGCTTGTAAAGATTCCCATTGTTATATGCAAATATTTTTACTTTCTCTGCCCTGCTATTTTTTTGAGGACACTGAATTTTTTTCTTTGCATCTGTCATAAGTAAATATGGACTCAGAAAATATATTACATTTCAAAACTGTTGATTGCACCTAATTACGCATGCAAATTGCTACTTCAAGCATGCAGACAGCTTGTAACATTTTGAAAATTTTGCCCCAGTAGTCATTTGAGGTATTTGTGTTACTGTTTTGCTTTTGCCTTAAATGATTTCATTTCCCGATTTGCTTTCAATTAATGATGGGTCTATGAATAATTTTCACCTTTTGATGTCTGTTGTGTAGATGATTCAAATGAGCAAATCAGAACCTTCAAGAAAATCACCCTTCTTATCGCTTATACCAGACCATTTGATTTTTTGAATCATTGAGATGAGAGTTTAGAAAAAGGTGTCTGTCCTGCAAGTCATCTAACCTCTTGCTATTCAGAATATGGTCGATGGACCAGTAACATCCCAACACTTGTATTGTTAGAAATACAGAGTCTCCGGCTTCCCTCCAGCCTTACTGCATCAGAGTCTCCATTTTAACAAGATCTCCAAGTGATGCCTCTCACATTCAAGTTTGGGAAGCACTGCTCTAACGCATCACATAACTTGGCTTTTCTATTGTATAATTATCTTGGCACTGTTCCCCTAAAATACTACTCTCAGAAAGACTCATTCGGAAAATACAATCTTAGAAACTTTGTGTATGAAGACATTTTAGCCCCTCCCGGCCTTCCCTCCGGGATCTTAGTGTTGCATAATGAAAAGTTACATAAATTAAAAATTTATCTCTGTTGTAACCTCTAGTCATGAATTAGAAATATATAGTTTTCCAAAAATCAAAAGCCATTAACTTAAAAAGGGAAATACTACTTTATCTTGACTAATAAATTTTATGCAAGCATGGAGTACTAGTTCCTAAAAAACTTGGTTATTCTGGACCTTCCATTTAGATTTAAAGTCCACAGTGTCTACTCTGCTGGGATTATTCCTTCTGTGACGATGTAAGCTGGAACCACCAACTTTGTGTCTGTGCAACCAGTAGCTGGCCAGCCAGGAAGAGCGCAATGATAAAACCAACATGGGCCAGTGAAGCAACGTCCTCAACAACTAGACTGAAGAACAAAACGACAGCAACTTGTCTGTCCCCCTTCCCTGATTCCCCAACGCTGTTCCCCTCCCCTAGTTCCCCAATGAAATCTTTAAAAAAAAAACAAAACAAAACAGCGACAGCCTAATAAACCTTCAAAGATTTGGCATAAGTATGTTCTAAATTATATGCCCCAATATTTTTAGGAACTAACAGAACTTGTTATTTTTAAATAATTTCTTGAAAGCACATACACCTAGACCAACCACTTAGTGCTTTTAAAAGCTATCTAGTGCAGGTGTTCTCACCTTAAATGTACATGAAATCACCTGGGAAATGCTGTTGAAATGCAGATTATGACTCAGCAGGACAGGATTGGGGCCTGAGACTCTGCAAATCTAATTGACAAACTTCCAGGTGCAGCCAGGGCTCCAGGTCCTCAGAATTAGTAGACTTGCTTTATCACCATAAATAGTCCTAAATTTTAATCACTTGGAGAACATTTTAAAATCTGTAAGGCCCACACTACACCTCAGACAAATTAACCCAAATCTCTGCAGGTGCAATCTAGGCATCAGTAGTTTTTCAACCTCCTCCACGTGATTATGGTGTGTGGCCAAGATTGGGAATCAATACTGTAAAATCAGTGATTCTTCAAGTGTGGTCCCCAGACCAGCAGCAGCAGCACCAGGGAGCCAGTTACGAACGAACACTGACTCTCAGGCCCTCCCTGGACTTACTCAATCAGTACGTGTGCTCTAAGATCTCCAGGAGGTGTGTACACATATTTAACAATTGAGAAGCACAGCTGTAGCATATCCTCATGACATGGAGAGGTGGCACTCAACCAGCAGCAACCTGACCGCACCTCCTTCATCTCTTTGCTCTTTATAAATCTACATGCATCCTAAGAGGTTCTACAAACCCTTATGGATAAAGTTCCAATGGATAAGAGGAATCTACAAGCATCCCTAGCTCTGTTTTAATACTTCTGTAATTAGCGATACTGCCCGATAGAACTGTCTGCCATGATAGAAATGTCCTATACCTATGCCACCAGCCATAGGTGGCTATTTCATTTTAACTGACTTCAATTTCAGCAGCTTAGTGTGGTAACTGGCTCCTGCATTGGACAGAGCAGCTCCTTCCTGTTGCTCAACTTGGATTCAAATTTTCAGGGTGAACACAGGCCCCCCCTGCTCAGTTTTTGTATGTATTAATCCCCAGTGAATGCACCAGGATGAAAAACATCTGCCTCACCACCTCATTTACATAATAAGTAACATGATGCTTATTATTTTGAATGAGAGGAGTTTAACTTGAATTAAACGCCACCAAAAGTTGTCAAAACCTTTTTCATAGCATTCATAATTACATAGCTTTAATTTTACAGCCCTTTCAAACGTCAGCACACATGGGATGCGTTTGGAACTGCCTTAAGAAAAAGAGACAAAAGACTACAAATGGATTCAGGGTAGAAGACACATAAAGACACCCCCTCCCCCAGCATCTTATTGATGTATAATGGAAAGTTGAATAAATTAAGCATATATCTATGTTGAAAATAAATATCAAAACTTGAAGATTCCTCTCAAAATGGAAGATGAGGCAGAAAACAAAGCAGGGATGAAGAAGTTAAGGTGCCAGAAGATAGCAAGTAAAATGCAAAATAGAAATGTACTGAATGATTACCATGAATATAAATAACTAATCTGTGGAATCAATGAGAAGGGATGGGGTGGGGGATGGGATGGATGGTATAGGAGAAGATGGCAGGGGATGGATGGAGGAGAGGGGAGAGGAGGAGAGGGAAGGGAAAGGGAGGGGATGGATGGAGGAATGGGTCAGGCTGGGATGGGATGGGATGGATGAGATAGGATGGGAGGGGAGGGGATGGGACAGGAGGGAATGGATGGGAAGGGATGGGATGGATAGGATGGGATGAGAGGAATGGGACGGAATGGGATGCTATGGGAAGGGAGAGGATGGAATGAAACAAAAATACTCATGATTTAAAGACAGACACCAACCCCGTAGAGTCTTTCCTTCTCCGGGGTGAGAACAGCAAGCACCATTATAACAGTGCTGCCTACCAGCTATTAAGTGAGCTCCATACATGATCCCCTGCAATTCTTCCCAAAACCCTGTGAGGTGGGCACGATCAGGAAAGAGATTACTGGGGGACATTATTTTAACTGACACATATCAAAATAAAAATAAGCAAATCTTGAAACTTGAGAGGGAAGGGGACAGTGTTAAAATAGCCCTCTTCTTTGATGGAAAGGGACATGTGTCATTTCTAAGCTGAATGAGCCACAACCTGTCTTATAAAAGGAGGCTAGCACTAGGGGAATATTTCAGCAGGGTCTGTGCCTTGCTCAGTTCCTGAGCCGGTACTGTGTGATAAAAGATTATGCCACACAGAAATGTGTAGCTAAGGGCAACAGCCTCACTTCTGAGGATGGTCACTTCATAGCAACGGAAGCCAATAAATAGACTCCCTTTGTTGTCCTCAGGAAAGAAACTCCAAGGGACTTCAGACAATCCCACTTCAGGAGGTTGATCATGAGCTCAGAGGCCGTTCAACACTTGCCCTGACTCTCATGCAGGCAGGCATCTTAAGAACCCCCTCCCCCCACCCCCAGGCTCTCCTTTTCTTCAGAAAGGGAGGGCAAGTTTCTTCATAACCCATATCAATCCACCTCAGAAGGGAGGGGGTAGAGTGATCATGACAGAAGAAGAAAATGTATACTCCCCTCAGAAATGGTCTAGAAAGGTCAAACCCAGTTCTGTGTTTATCCAAACTTGCTGGTGTCCCATGCCTAACACCAGCTTATGAATTAATCCACAAACCCTAATCATTGTTCAAAGCATTGTTTGGAGGATTCCCCAGACCCTTCACTTGTGTAAATATACACTTAGCTAAAGTTACAGGTGTAGTGTAGGGACACAGGATTCCCAGGGATTCTGAACTTGACCTTCTGGGTCACCTGGAAATATTCCAGGACTCTGTAGTATGAAGAGCAGTCCCGTTCTGCCCCGGCAATATTGGAGCAAGTCTACCTAGTGAGGGGGGGCTTTGGCTTCCTGAATCCTGCACAGAATGTCCGGTTGTTGCAAGCTTTGCATACATGGGCACTCCAGGCAGCTAGCCTAGCTACCACAAGGTAAAAAGCAAGAGGCCAGTAAGCTCAGTTCATTTTTCCCAAATTCACTAGGCAGGGGAGACACCTCTGGGGCAAACAGAGTAAAAGAGTGGAGAAATACCAGGGATATTATGCTACTCGAACTCCCTACACCTGGAAAGAACCAGCAGAAGTGGGGAAGAAGTGTCAATCCCCCAAACGAATTCTGCTTCAATATCAGCAGATCCTAGGTCCCTTGTTCCAATCCCCCCATTGCCTGGTGCCTCTGTAGTGGGGAAGGTTGTGAGAGCCCACCCTGGATAGCTCCATTTCCTGCCTGTTGTATCCACTCATTGCGCCTGTGTAGTCACCAGACCACCATCAGCTCTGCCAGCACTCTCCCCTCAATGTAGAGCTAACTTATTGGGTCTTCGATGTGAATGGTCAGAATTAACATTCCTCGCAAAGCTGTCAAGAATTAAACTCCTGACCCAGTTCTCATTAGCATCATACTCATATCAACGGAGCCAACCAGCAATGTTACAGAGGTGTAAAGCTTTGCAGAGGTGGTGCTCTCACAAGCGCCTTTTATCTTACAAGTGCCTAATAAATATTGCATTTTCATAATTTGGCTTTTGAAACCACAAATTATCTTTCATTCCCTTGCACAGTGTGTTTTAGGAGACCCACCTAATGCAGTGCTTCGCACACCGGTGGGAACTAAATAAATGTTTGAGAATGAATATTAAAAACCTTTTATGTGAAGTCTTAGAAATGACTTTGCATCTCATCTTGGAAAATGTAGTCTTCAGAAAAGTGAAACAGAATGGCCGCTTTGGTGATCACATGTTTGCATCAATGTCACTGAACCACTGCAGGAAGGTAAATAACAGTCACTTGGCACAAGTACATGTCTGAGTCTCCATTTCCTTTTTATGAATTGAGGACCCTATAATTCCTTTCAGCACAAAGACTCTGAGATAACAACAGTAGGCATTTTCTGACAAGTGGAGTGCACACTGAAAGCATTCAATAACCAAGTCAGGGCGGTAAACTCTCTGTGGTTTGTAATGGTAGGCTTTCATTTTCATCTACTACATAACAAAGCTCTTCTCCTGTTTCTAGAGATGGCCCTTGAACTCCTAGTCATTGTCATTTATCTGTACACTTTGCTTTTCATTGTGGAACCAGAGTATAAGCAACATGTACAGCTACGGCAATAATTAGGCAAGACGTTTTGGAAAACCAGGAATTTAAATGAGAATATGAAATATACAAGCAACAATCCCCAGAGACAGTGATAAACATAATAAATGAGCTCATAGGGAAAACCAGCAGAGGGTGGATGATGAGTTGCAAGATTCACCTGGACATATTTCTAGAGAAAAGAGAAGGACCACTAATAGTAGGGAAATTAAAATTTCAATGGGTAATACACACCTTTTTAACATAATGCTATCTTCATGTCCTTTACAAATATCATAGATGCTTAGAAATTAAGGCATAAGTAAATACCAACTATTAATATTTACTCCATGCAGCTTGCAAGCTTCTGGCCCTTTAGTGACACTGTTGCGTTATATGTCACTAGTCGCTTCCTCACTGCCCAAGTTGATGCCTTTTTTGGCTCTTGATCTTAGC